AAAATATGCTAAGTATACCTCAGCAAGGACCCCTGCAATCCCGTCTAGGTCAAGGGTGCCGACACCCCTGACCGCCTCCCTCTCAGCCAGAGGGATGGCTATGATCATAGACTTGGCCACCTCGACCAAGTCTGGCTCCTGAGGGCCGGCTGCATCAAGCATAAACAAACGGGTTAGACCTAGTAAAGAAGAGAGCAAGTCTAAATTCACAAGGACAGCTTCATACTTCTAGGCGGCCTGATTGAAGTTTTAGAAGGAGTGGACGGCTGTTTCTCAGCCGCCGCATGTTTCCTGGCAGTACCAGGAGAGCTTGCAACAATCGTCCTCCGGGTCTTGGAGTCCGGCTGTTGGGAAGAAGAGGTTCTTGGAGTGCCCGTCTGAAAAGAAAAAAAAACACTCGGTCAGTATATGCATAAACCTAACTCCAAAAAGAGAGTGAAAGGTTCGGAGCTCACCAAGGGCGCCCCCTTGTTGGGGGAGTCGGTTGAGGATTGTTGCATAATAGAGGCTTGCAACATGGCCGCCGCAGTCTTGGAAGCGGTGATCTTGCTCATGGCGTCCGCTACAAAGACAAGATACCAAGTTAATAAAAAGATAAATAGTAACTCATGGCAAAAAAGAGTATTCGACAGGCCGGCTACCTCTTGAACACCGACTGCTAAGGCCACAGGCGGCCAGAAAGTACTCGTCATAGAGCCATTTGAAGCTCGGGACGCAGTGCAGGGGTACTTGCTCTCGTACCCCTGTAGTAGAGTCGACCCTCGACTCTACTTTAAAGAGTTCTTTATCCAGGATCTCTTTCTTGGCTTTGGGGGGAACAGGCGGCATGCTGCGGCCGCCTACAAGAAGAGGCAGATCCCTGTTCCACCTGTTGAAGCGCTTGTTCAGCTCTGTGTCTGAACTTTCAATGATAAGGAAGGTGCTTCGCCAATCCTTCCACTTGTTTGCTTTACCTCTTGTCATGAGGTAGCCTCTGTGGCTCGTCAATTGATACCAGCCGGTACCGCCTGCCTTAGGGGTCCGGCTGAGGTAGTTCATGTGGGTGAAAGCCTCGAAGTTTGGCTCCACCCCGTGCAGTTCGCACCCGGCCACATAGCCGAGTACGTTGACCCAGGAGTTTGGGGCTAACTGCCATAACCCCAACTCATACCCATCCAAGATCCGCTGAACAGCCGGATGTAGTGGGAAGCGCAGCCCAGCCATGATGGCCGCCTCGTAGCAGCCAAAGCAGGCGCTATCATAACTAGTACCAGCCGGCCAGACGACTGTGTCTTCTGGATCCGGCACGAAAACTAAAAAGCCGGGGCCCATTGTGTGGTTCGCAATAAAGCTCCCCACTCTCTCTTGCATGGCCGTGATCCGGCCCCGTGGGACAGTGCAGTAGTAAGGGGTATTTTGCTCTCGGTAAGAGGCGGATGGCTCCGCCCAATTGTCCCCCTTCTTAACTGCGTGAGAAAGCCTCGCCTCTTGTAGGCGGTTGTTTTTCTCTTCCGTGTCTAGAGAAGCATGACCAGAAGAACTAGACTCGGATTCGTCCTCTGACGAGTCCGAAGAGGACGACTCCTCCCCTCTCCCAGAGGGGCCCGCCTTCTCTCCTTCAAAAGGAGTAGGAGAGAATGTAAACATGTCAACTGTAAAATGGGAAGGGGTCACCTTGACCCCTCCCTCAGAACTATCGGCTGTCAAGCCGCCTTGGTTCACTTCCACATCTGGCGTTTGGTCAGATGTTTCACTAATCGGCACCCTGTGGGAGGAGCCGTCTGAGTTCGAGATCCTAGCAGTTCTTTTTGTTCTGGCCATCATGTTATGCATAGACACAGAGACAGTCGGACTTTGTATAAAGGGCAAAGATGGGTCCGGAAAAGGGCAGGCGACACTCCTAGTCCTAGATTCAGCCGTCCCCGGTGACCGGCTGATCACTAACCTAGGTCGTGTCGTGTGCTTCCGTGGTGCCATTTCAAAAAAGAATAAAATAAAGAGAAAATTAAGAGTAAGAGAACCGACGATTACTTGAACGAGTGAAGTTGACGGAGTTCTGAAAATCCTGAGTAGCCGGCTTGTCAGAGCAGGCGGTAGGCAGAAAGAGTCCGGAATGTCAGAGCAAGTTCAGAGGTCCGAATGTTCTCTCTAAAAAGTTCTCAAATGTGAAAATGAATGAAGTCAACACACCCTTATATAGGCAAAGTGAGAAGGCGAAGGGTCACTTCCAAAATTCAAAATTTGGGCGGGAGAATCTTTTGGCCTTTCACCGAGTGACACCTGTAGCAGGCCGTCGCCTGTCACGGTGCGACACCTGTCACAGGTAACACGTGACCAGTCACGAGCCACCTGTGAGGGGCAAATGATTAGGGGATTTTTATCCACCAATCAGCATCCGACACGTGGGCCAGCCAGGTTTTGCCACGTGTCCTTCATGTAGGCCAATAGGAGCCTGCCACGTGTCATCAAGAGATTCGTCCTCCTTGGACCAATTGCAATGTGACACGTGTCCACCCATGCCAAATGGGAAAACCGGCCAACAAGGCCCAATCATTGTGGGAGGCCCAGTCAACCTTAGGTTTAACCTAAACCTAGTACTGGCACGCATCCCAAGGCATATAAATATGCCCATTAATCCTCATTAAGGGAGAGGACACACATTTAACACTCTCACCTAGAGAGACCCAATTACTTTTATTTCCGCATTAATTACTCCTTAATCAAGTACTAACTTGACCGTCGGAGGCGGATCTCCAATCGTCCGGAGCATCCGTTTGTTTTGCAGGTACAGGCATCCGGTTCCAGTCTCTTTTCTTTCCTTCTCTGAATTTGATTATGGCTCGAGAAAGGAGGCGTCAGCCGGGTCGACAGGGTCAGGCTAGGGATCCCCGTGACCGCGCCGACGTTTTGAACGGGGAACGAGCCGGTGAAGACCCGGAAAGGGGGATTCCGGCAGTTCCTTTAAACGCCGCGCCGCCTCAGCAGGACGTCGAGGCCGGCGAGGCGGAGCAACCTGAGCAGAGAGAACAGGCTGGGCAGGCTGAAGATTTGCCCCCTGTGCTCTGGGACCTGATTCCTAGGCATGTTGAATGGTAGGACGCCATGGTGAGAAATACCCCATACTCATGGTGGGTTCGGCATGCCGAAACCTACCGATTCGCCGAGCAAATTGAGTTGCACTACGACATTTTTGAAGAGGATGGGCATTGGTGCCGAATGCCCTCGCCGACTGACAGGATTCACCGTCCCCCTCCTGGGTATATAGGGGTGTACACTCGGCAATTACAATACGGGCTTCGGTTTCCTTTGGATCCCTTCGTCAGGGATATTTTAATAAAGTACAGGATCTCCCTGTGCCAATTAACACCCGTTAGAATTCGGTGGGTGATGACTTATCTCTGGGTGTGTTGGTTTTTTGCTGTTGAACCGGATTTGCACTGCTTCCAAAAGATGCATCAGCTAGTGCAGAACCTCCAGAGTGTGTACGGCCAACACGGGTCTTCAGGCTGGTGGCGAATAGAGAGCCGTCCCCAATATCTGACTATGTGGCCGAACGACTCCTCGGATAAGGATTGGAGGGGTCAATGGGTCTGGGTGAAATTTCCCGCTGATCCGGAGCATCCATATTTTTTCGGGGCTCCCCGATACCTCTCCAGGCCTGATCCGAACATGCAAGACTTGGGTCCTGAGGACCCTGATGCCACTAGCCACCCGAGTTAGGAGAAAATGAGCTTCTTCGGGAAGCAGAATAACCCCGGGGGATTTGGCCGAATGAGAACTCTCCCGGCCAGATGGCTTCCGGATAACCATTACATCTTCCAAGAGAAGATGTTGGCAGTTTTCGGCCTCAGCCGAAAGTACAGGGGTGGTAAGTATGTTTGGCTGGGGTCGAGGACTTTAACTTAATCAATTTTGATTTGTCTTTGATGCTTATTCCCTTAGTCTAACCTTCGTCTGTTCTTTTCAGAGCTGAGCGAAGCTACCTCGGGAATTGATTATAACCGGCTCGAGGTGAACGCTGAAAGGGTCATTCTAGACCGGGCTCCGGCAATCACAGCTCCGAAGAACCGTCCGTTGCATCTGCACGAAATGGGTCTTCAAATTGAAGCCGCTGCCGAATACACCAAGCAGAAGCCTTGGTGGGAGAAGCGAGATCCCCTTCGGCCTTTATTACCTGAGGAAGCACAGGCTGCTCAGACAGCAGCTGACGTGTCCCGAGTAATCAACTCCTTGGAAGGAGGTGTTGGGCCGTCGGTGCTGCTGAGAGGGATATCCCTGCACCTAGAGTTCAGCCGAGGGTTCCAGTAAGTTCCTGACTTGCTTGGTTTTTTTTTTTTTTTTACTCACACTTTGCTGCCCCCCCTTTCTGCAGTCTGAGGAAAGGAGCGGAAGAAGAGAAGGAAAGGCGCCTGTTCGTTCTGAAGATCCATCTTCGTCAGAATTTGAAGAAATGGATGAGCAGCCCTTAGCAAAGAGGAGGAGGAGGTTAGCCGTGCTGGGACCTCGTCAGTTTCAGACGGGGATGAGGCCTACTGGGGGCATCCTCATACGGAAGCCTGATGAAGGTAGACAATTGCCGAGGGCTCCCCCTCCGCCGGAAGCTCCACGTCCTCAAACCCCCCCTCCACCTCCCGAAACTCAAGAGATGGAGGTGGACCAAAGAACTCCTGATCCGAAGAGGGGGGGGTTCAGGGACACCCTGCTGAAGAATCTGAGAAGCCGATTGCTGAAGGCTTCTAAGATGATATTGATAGGGAGCAACCTGATCTGGGGGATGAAGAAGAGAAGGTCGTTGCTGCTGACCCTGGTGGAGACCAATTGGGCTCTGCCGAAGGAGAAGGTCATGCTGAGCCTGGGAAGATTCAGGAGGTTCCCTCTTCTTCCTTCCCCTCATTTCAAACGCTGAAATCTGGAGACTTGGGTTTCTTGCCCCCCGTATCACAGTCCCAGAACCTGTTTGGGAACGAATTTGGGGCCAGAACCGTGAAGGGGCTGCAGGCTACTTCGGCGACTTAACTAGCATGTCCGAAGTGGACCGAGCAAGGGTGTGGTCGCTGAAGGCCACGACTGGGATGGGAGAATCCAGCCGAAGGGTCCCTGACCCTGCAAGAGACAACCAGCGTTTGCTGATGCAGGTACTTAACCTTTTAGTTGCTTTGCTTTCATTCAGCTCTTCTCCTCCTTTCTGGCTCTTTCCCTTTTTTATTACTTTATTTATTTCAACTGATGTGCCACTGCAAACAGGTTAAGCACAATCAGACTCTTACTGTAGAGTTGATTGACACCCTCCAAGACAAGCTGGAGCATGCCTGGGAGGAGGCAAAGATTGCCCGGGAGGAGGCGAAGCTTGCTGAGCTGAAACAACAAGCTGCTGAAGAGAAGCAGCAGCAGAGCGAAGAATATGAAAAGAGGGCTGCTGAAGCCATTGAAACCTTCTGCTCGGCTATGGAGAAAGAAGTTTTTCCCCCGCTGATGGAAGGGGAGAAATTCCTTCAGGAGCAAATGGGAGTGGACATCTCCAAATTTAAAGCTGCTATCGAGAGCCGAATTCAAGAAGGAGCTGCTGCACAAGCTGAAGTGCAGCAGAAGATGGAAGCTCTTGAAGCCAGCAGGATGGCTGCTGAAGAGGCTCTACAGGCTAGGGATGTTCACCTTTTTGCTGCCCAAGCTGCTGCTGAGAGCCAGGATCAGAAGCTGAAGGAGTTGGAGGATCAGCTGAGAGTCAAGGGAGATGAGCTAACCCAGGCCAAAACCGAAGCTTCCAACGTCCGGCTGGAGCTTAATGAGCAGAAGACTTCTTCCTCCAAACTCTCAGAAGAGTTAGAAAAATCTAAAAAGGATTTGGAGGAGAGTCAAAAGAAGTTGGCTGACGCTGAAGCCTTTCTCCAAGTCCGCCTCTATACCCAAGAAGAGTATGAGATGGGCTACATAAATGGGTTTAAGGTGGCTCGGAGGTTGGCTCTCCATGCTGAGCCTTCGCTGGATTGGTCCAAGCGTGCGCTTTGGGCTCAAGACCCCGAAGATCCGCACATGCTGTATGCCACTCCTGCTGAGCATGATATCCTTTAGGCTGAACAAGCCGAGGAGGAAGCTGAGCGGCAGGAGTTGGAGGCTGAACAGCGAGCCGCTGAAGCTCAGTCAAGGGCCCAACCTGCCTCCTCTGCTGATGGAACCGAGACTGCCCCGGGACTAGGCCCGGCTAATCAGCTTGATCCTCCAGCTGAAGCATAGGAAATCGGGCAGTCGTCTTCAGAATCTTGCGGATCAACATGCGCTTAACTTCAGACTCGCCGCTTTCTGAATCTCTTTTTGCCTTATCTTTTTGCTTCAGCTTGCCTTGATGTACAAACAGTTTATTTTTGTTTCTATAAGTATTTCGGCAGCTGTTATTTTACGCTTGTGGGCGGCTGCCGATATAGTCTTTAATTTATTTAAACTTGTAGCTCACTTTCTTAGCATTGATCATTAATCTGATGTTCCTTTCTTCAACTGCTTTGCCTTATTTTGAGTGCTTTACTGTTTCTGAGCTTGAGAAATTCTCGCAAAAGTTAGCTAAGTACAAAGCTTTCGGCTTGAAGAATTTTACTGAACATAAACTTGCACTGATAGTGCCTCTTGCCCCCCCTGAAATCTGAAGATTCAAGTCTTTGGATTACTGAGCTGGGTTTTGTTTCTCTTTCTTTTAAGAATGGATATCCGAAGCACAGGGCCAACTGAAGGCAATGCTTCGGATAATGGCTTTCTGGGATACAAGGCTCAGTTAAGGCAATATCCCAGACTTGCCCATGGACTCTTGTCTTTAGAGAACAAGTCTTACTGAAGTTTGACTTCAGCTGAAAGACCAGAGTTCTTTAAAAAGACGAGTTTGTCAGCGATCTGAAACCCAGTTACCCGGAGGCGCAGGTTTCAGACGAGGCTGAATAAAAAATTTCCAACAGTTGCTGTTATCCTTGATTTTCTGTCTATCTTTAAAAAATGGATATCCGAAACACAGGCCCAACTGAAGCCAATGTTTCGGATAATGGCTTTCTGGGATACAAGGCTCAGTTAAGGCAATATCCCAGACTTGTCCATGGACTCATGTCTTTGGAGAACAAGTCTTACTGAAGTTTGACTTCAGCTGAAAGACCAGTGTTCTTTAAAAAGACGAGTTTGTCAGCAATCTGAAACCCAGTTACCCGGAGGCGAAGGTTTCAGACGAGGCTGAATAAAAACCCTTAAAGAGTAGATAGAGTAAGAAAACTTTGAAAGAATAAAAAGTTGCAAATATTTATATAAATGGTGGCTCCAAGGCCTTTCATTAATTCAAAATGTACTTACAAAGATTGTTCTGCCCCGAAGGGTTTACACATGATATTTCTTCAGTACATCAGCGTTACAGTGATTTTTAAACTCAGTTCCATCCAACTGCCAAAGTCGGTATGTCCCTGGCTGAAGCTCATCACAGATTTCATAGGGTCCCTCCCATGCAGCTGAGAGTTTCCCATGGATTCGGCCTTTCTGAACTGCAACAGCATTCCGAAGGACAAGGTCTCCGATTTTGAGAGGCCTTGCATGGACCCTTCGGTTGTAAAATTTGCTGATTCTCTGCTTATAAGCATCCATTCTGTCTCGGGCTGAGTCTCTTACTTCGTCGAGGAAATCGAGAGATTCCTTCATCAGTTGCTCATTCTCAGCCGAGAAGTGGTGCACTCGTAAACTCTTAGAGCCGATTTCCACTAGAAGAACGGCTTCGGCGCCATACACCAGCTCAAAGGGTGAATAGCCCGTTGCCTCTTTTTCAGTCGTCCGAAGGGACCAGAGGGTTCCTGGGAGCTCCTCCAGCCACTTGGACTTTTGATCTTCCACCCTCTTTTTGAGGGCGTTCAGGATCTGTTTATTTGCAGTTTCGGCTTGTCCGTTACTTTGCGGGTGGCATACCGCTGAATATGCCAGTTTGATACCGAACTGATCGGTATACCGCTTCAGCAGCAAGTTATCGAACTGCCTCCCATGATCGAAGACAAATACTTTCGGGATGCCGAAACGAGTGATGATATTCTGCCAGATGAACTTTCTGACAGTTTGCTCTGTAATGTTCGAGGCTGCTTCGGCCTCGATCCATTTAATGAAATAGTCAACACCGACTATCAACCATTTTTTATGGTATGTAGCATCTGGAAATGGTCCCAGTATATCCGGTCCCCATTGGGCAAACGGGAGTGGATTAAGGATCGGCTGAAGATCCCCAGCTGGCTGATGGATAACTGGTGCGAATTTTTGACATTTTTCGCATTTCCGGACCAAATCCTTAGCATCTGAGATCATGGTGGGCCAGTAGTATCCGACCCTCAATGCCTTGTGGGCTAAGGTCCTTCCCCTGATGTGGTTTCCTCAGATGCCGAGGTGAATCTCCCGAAAGATATAATCTGCATCTGTTGGTCCCACGCATTTCAGCCTTGGGGCTGAGAAGGACTTTTTTAGAAGCACCCCTCTGAAGACAATGAACCTTGAGCTGGTTCTCTTCAGCTTGGAGGCCAAAATTCTTTCTTCGGGAATTTCTCCCCGAACCTTAAAAGCTAGGATGGGGTCCATCCAGCTGGGCTCTGGGTCAGCGCAGCACACTTCAGGTGCTTCGTCGACACTTCTTTCTCGATGCACTTCCACATATACAGATTTGTTCAGCTCAGTGAGAGTTAAACTGACAAGTTTGGAGAGTGCATCGGCTTGAGTATTCTGACCCCTTGGGATCAGCTGAACCTCAAAAGTTCTCAGCTTTGCAATGACTGATTTGATCTTGGCAAGATAGGCTCTCATGGAGGGCTCTTTGGCCTCGTAGCTGCCACTGATCTGATATGCAACTAGCTGAGAGTCTGTTTTCAGGCAGACATGCTCGGCTTCTAGAGAGATGCACAATTCTAGTCCAGCGATTGCTGCCTCATATTCAGCTTCGTTGTTCGAAGCCTTAAAAGAAAATTTTAGTGCATACTCAAAGAATTTGCCTTCGGGAGAGGTTATCACTACCCCTGCCCCCGAACCATTTACGGTGGAGGATCCATCCGTAAACACGGTCCAGACTTTCCTTTCATTGTCCAGCGTCTCTTGGTACGAGCATTCGGCCAAGAAATCCGCTAGAGCTTGAGCCTTGATGGCAGCCCCTCGGCTGGTAGCTGATGCTGAATTCGGTGAGCTCAAAAGCCCACTTGGCCAGCCTACCAAATTTTTCAACTTTGCCGAGAACTTTTTCCAGCGGCTGATCAGTTAAGACCACTATCTGATGGCAATCAAAATAGGGCCTCAGCTTCCGAGCAGCTACCACTACTGCAAAGGCGACTTTCTCGAGTAGAGGGTAGCGAGTCTCGGCATCCGTCAGAGTGTGACTGACGAAGTATATCGGTTGCTGAATTTTGCTTTCTTCCTTCAGCAGCACTGCACTGATGGTGGCTGGGCTAACAGCCGCGTACAGATACAAAGTTTCTCTCTCTGCTGGGCTAGCCAGCGTTGGGAGTTGAGCCAGATGCTCCCGAAGTTGCTTGAAGGCCTCTTTTTTCTCTTCCTACCAAACGAACTCTTTTGTTTTCGGGAGTTTCAGGGCTTTGAAAAAAGGTAACCCCTTATCCGAAGCTCTGGAAATGAACCTCGAGAGGGCTGCCAATCTTCCGGTGAGCCGCTGAACATCCCGCTTTGTTTTCGGCTCAGGAAGGTCGAGCGCTGCTTTGACTTTGGAGGGATTGGCATCAATCCCCCTCTTGCTGACCATGAACCCAAGGAATTTCCCTGACTTCACGCCGAAGACACACTTCTTCGGATTCAGCTTCATTTGATGCTTTCTTAAGGTGGCGAAAGTTTCAGCCAGGTCCTTAACATGGTCCTCAGGTTTTTTGCTTTTGACGATCGAATCGTCGACAAAGACTTCCATGTTTCGGCCCTTTTGATCTGCAAAAACTTGATCCACCAGCCTTTGATAGATTGCCCTCGCATTTTTCAATCCGAAGGGCATCATTTTATAATTGTACACCCCGGCGTTCGTGACGAATGCCGTCTTTGCTCGATCGTTGGGGTGCATGAAGATCTGATGATACCCCGAGAATGCGTCCATGAAACTAAGCAAGGCATGGCCACTTGTCGAATCGACTAGCTGATCGATCCTCGACAAGGGATAGAAATCCTTCGGACAAGCCTTATTTAGGTCCGTGAAGTCAACGCACATCCTCTAGGTACCATTGGCCTTCTGAACCATCACCACATTTGCCATCCATTCTGGATATTGACAAGGCTCGATGAAGCCTGCCTCCAGCAACTTTTTGACCTCGGCTGCGATGTCTCGGTTCATATTAGCGGAGTAATTCCGCTTCTTTTACTTAATTGGTCGACACGTTGGGTCAACATTAAGCTTATGGGAGATGAGGTCTGGACTTATCCCGGGCATATCAGCTGCCGAGAAAGCAAACACATCTCTGTTGTCCCGAAGGAGCTGAATAAGTTCACAACGGGTGTTCGGATCAAGGTCCATCCCGATTGTTACACATTTCTCAGCGTCTCCTTCGGCCAGCTCGACCGTTTCAGTCTGCTGGTCCATGTCCATTGCTGATGGGCTGGACTCTTCACAATCTGGCCTGTTGTCTATGTCAGCAGGTGTCCCAGACTTTTTGTTCTTCGGCTGGCTCTCTGAGTCGTTCGGCTCAGATGAAGGGCTAGCCTTTTCCCTTTCTGGCCCCTTTTCTCTGGGCACAGATCCTTGGGCCGAAGCACTTAGGCCTTTCGGCTTTTTTGTTCTCGGCTCTCTTTCTTTCTCCTCCCCATCCTTGTCATCGTCATCTGGGCGACTAGTGGATGGCTTGAGGTAGTTGCACCTTCAGGCGTCCTTTTGGCTGCCCTGGATCCTTTCGGGGAAGCCGGCGTCTGAGACGTAAATCATCAGCTGATGATAAGTTGAGACGACTCCTTGGATCTCGTGAATTATAGGTCTCCCCAAAATCACGTTGTACACTGAAGGAGCGTCAATGACCAAAAATTCAGTCATGACATTCCTGGCTGCCTCATCGCAGCCGATGGTGACAGGAAGTGTCACCTTCCCATCTGGGTAAGTTGAAGCCCCGTTGAATCCGGATACCGGGTAGGGTACCGGCGTAAGGTGCTTAAGCTTCAGCTTGATTTGATTGTAGGCCTTTCGGAACAGAATGTTTGCTCCGCTGCCACCGTCAACAAGGACCTTGCTGACGTCGTGGTTGGCCACCATGGCGATGATCACCAACGGATCCTCGTGAGGGAACGTTACCCCCCGGCAGTCGGCGGCTGTGAACGTCATGTTCGGCACCGGCAACTGGGGAGGCTGAATGCCAGCGTTGTTCACCTGGTGGGTCAGAGCCCTAAGGTGCCGCTTGTGTTCCCTCCGAGAACATATTCCTCCCGAGATGACATTGATTGGAGAGAATTTTCCCTCCGCACTTTTGCTGTTCTTCCGGGGGAAGTCGAGGTCCTGCCGAGAGTCCTTTGCTGACTTCTCGGCCTCTTTTTTCTCGCGGTAATCCGCGATGTATTTTTTCAAGTATCCCTTCCGGACCATGTCCTCGATCTGGTCCTTCAGCTGGATACATTCCTCGGTGTTATGTCCCGGTGATTCATGGAACTCGCACCACTGATTTTTATTTTTTCGCTCATACCACTCTAGGAGTGGTCTCGGCTTTCTGTAACTCTGCTCCTCCTTTGTCACGCTGTAAATTTTGGCGCGTGGAAGAGAGAGTGGAGTGTAGGATTCATATCTACCTGTGAATGGGGCAGATTTTTCCTTCTTCGGCTCGTTGGCCGAAGATTGCTCCGAGGCTTTCGCCTTTCCCTTTGTCTCCTGGCCTTGGCCTTCAGACGAGGGTATTTGTTTTTGCTTCCCTCCCCCAGATTGAGGTTGGGTTTTTGTTTTGTTCCACTCTTCAGCTCGAATGAACTTATCCAAAGCATTCAGCGCCTCCTCCAAGGTCTTGGGTGAATTTATGACCATGAAGTTGGAGAACTGCTCTGCTCTGAGGCCGTGCTGAAGGGCGAAAACTGCTAACCCTTGGTCCAGCTGAGAAATGCTGGACTACTCGTTGCTGAAACGGGTAAGATAGTCTCGGAGGCTTTCAGCCTCTCCTTGCTGCAGACCCATGAGTTCTGCAGTGGTCTTCTCTCGGCGATTTGCCGTGGAGAGCTTGCTCTTAAACTTGGTGGACAGGTCATCCCACCCTGTTATAGAGCCTTGTTTCACTCCCTTGGAGATCCACGCTTGCGCGACCCCCTTGAGAGTGGTTGGAAAATATTTGCACCAAGTCGCTTCGGACCTGGGGCAAAGATGCATATGAGCTTCATACGAGGCAATATGGTCCTTCGGATCCGAAGTCCCATCATACGTGATGTGCGACGGTATTTTAACCGTGGGCACGTGCTCTTCCAGTATCCATTGCTCGAATGGGGAACTGGTGGGTAGCATAACGGCTTTGCCTTTGTTCCTGGCCGAAGGGACCGCGCTCCGCCCTCTTAGAGAGGTAGGAGTGGTTTTCGTCCCTGGCTGGGAACTCTGGGCCTTGGCTGCAGGGAACGAGAGACGACTGTGCACGCTCGGCTCCCTGACGCCGAGTCGGTCGAGGACGCTTCGGCGAACAGTCTCAGGTTGCTCTCGGCGAGCAAATTCTGGCCGAGAAGCTGAGCTGCTGCTCTTATGCGTTTCTGGTCGAGAGGTTGAGGATCCTCTGAAAAATTGAGGGTTCTTTTTCCTCTCTCTTTCAGTTCTCCAGGTATCCTCTTCCCACTTTTCCAGTTCCCGGAAGGAAGGAGGTTTCTCCCCCTCATGGTCCAGCTTCCTCCGCTGATGCCTGATATGCGGAGGAGTTCGATCGCGAGGTGGAGGCATATTTTGTGCCCTCATTGCCTCCATGAGCACTTCCAGCGCTCTCGCCACCTCCTCCGAGCTGGGCCCCGTCAAAGGGGTCCTCGGCTGAGTGTGGGAATGAGAGCGGATGGTCGATGGTTAGCTTTGGGGCACTGAATGAGTCCTATGATCGGACTGACCTCTGTTAGACCGGGAGGGACTCGGCCTATGATGAGAGTTGTGAATTACGGGAGAAAGGGAATCCTCCCTGTATGATCCTCCCCCCGAACTGGCACCCTTGGGAGAGTTCCGGTCCGGTGAGGGTGATGGTGTAGGAGTTTTAGGCTTTTCGCCTGCTCCTTGACGGAGGCTTTTGCTCTTGCGGTTCTTAGCCATCGCTACTAAGATGATTGCAAGATGATCTTTACTAAAGATTTGGCTTAAAGATTTTTTGAAAGTCTTCCCCACAGACGGCGCCAAATTGTTTCGGGTGAAAACAATGGGGCCTTGCCGAAGGCCCGCTGAAGTGGCTGAAGACTGGTTCGGTCCAATTGATGATGGGCCGAAGGTTTCCTGCACAACTAAAACACGTAAACTGGCCTCGGGGGTGGATCCGAGGAAGACCCCTCCGATGCCAAAGTCAAACAGTGTTTAGAGAGAGAAAGCTATGCAAGAGATTTAGTGCTTGAGGCTTTTGTATGTTCATCTGTACAAATGAATGAATTGAAAGCTTTTATACCTTTGCTCATGATGAGAGGAGAGTGATTGGGCCTTTTGAATATTCATGGGCTGACCATGGCAATTCGGACCAAAAGACTCTTGGTTGACTTGGCTTGATTGGAGGCTCGGGCCTTGACCTTGAAATATGGAGTCATTTAGTGACCGGGTCCAATAAGATAATTGGACCCAAATACATTACTAGGCCCAATTAGATAAATTGGACCCAAACAGATATAGTTAAAAGATACGTAGTACTTTTTATAAGAAAAAACTTCAATATACTTAAAAGATACTTTCTAAAATAAAAAACTTGAAAAAGTCTTGTTCTTCTTGATTTGAAGGTTCCATGTACGTGATAGTGCTTGCATCCTTGAAGATGAAGGATTGCCTTTTAAATTTCTAAATTAGTTCCATGAGGCTGTTTCTACATTATAGGATACAATACCATCGAATTCCAAATGATGATTTTATCCATGACTTAGTCAACCATTACTTAGCACAATTTTAAGAGACAATACCATAGAATCCCAAATGATGATTTATTTTATTCATGACTTAGGGCCTGTTCTGATTGATAAAACTGAACTGAAATGAACTTATTAGAGCGAGCTAAACTCAACTGAACTTATTAAAGCTGAACTGAACTGAACTTATTAGATCTGAAATGAACTAAACTGAAAATAATTATATCAAAATAGGCCCTTTAGCACAATTTTAAGAGACAATACTATAGAATTCCAAATTAAATGATGATTTTATCCATAATTTACTCAACCATGACTTAGCACAATTTTAAGAGGATTATTAGTTAACTTTGCATTATTGCTCTCAATAAAGTAATTACAGACTCATTTCATGTTGTAACACCAGGAACGAAAAAAGTCTAACATAGAAAACGTGGAAATAAAATACCCCACGTTGTCCTTGCTCAATACGTCCGTTTGCTACAAGCTAAAGTGATCTATAAATCATGACACTCACCAAATGCACACCAAAAGTGTCAAATAATTAGTTTTATTAGTTCTATTTTCTTTAATTAGTTCTTAAAAAAAAAAAAAAAGCTACAAATCATGAACACTTACATGAACAAGTACGAGGCAAACTATACGGCACTTACTCCAATCACATTCTTGAAAAGAGCTGCTAAATTTTATGCTGATCGTACCTCCATCGTATACGGTGGTGCTCGGTTTACTTGGCGGCAGACCTACGATCGCTGTCGACGCCTCGCTTCCTCCCTCCAATCCCTTGGCATTGCCAAAAATGATGTGGTTAGTTTATGTTATTTGATTTTTCTGGTATTTTTTTTTATTACTCCGTAGTTAATTATGTCTATAATTGTCATTCTATTTAGATTTTTCATAAACTCTAATCATACTATAATTTTTATCATACAAATATAAGTATATCACTTGCTTGGTGTGAGAATTATATCCCTCTCATAGGGGTGGAAAGAGATTCTCTCCTTCCTTTGTCTTTGAAAATGAAGAGATAAAAATAAAATTGCTAGTGACGAGGAGAGATGTAAAAAGAAATGACAAGAGAAAAGAAAACATTTGGTAAAACACTAATTTGGTAAAACACTTTAAATTAAAGTCAAGATATCCCTAATTAAATGAAAAAAAATTTAATAAGACTGTTTAGTAGAGAAATATAGTTGGGAGGGCTGATGTTACTTAGATCAAGCCCATTCATCATAATGTATGGGCCCTAGTAGGCATTAGGTAATATATGATATAAGACAGAACAGTCAAAATCAAACCGAACCGAACCGAACAAAACCATCTGTTTCGAGCTGTACTGTATCCAATCTAATTTGATCCGAAAAACTCAACACCCAAACCCGATTTGTAATGGAACTGAACTCAACCCGAATCCGAATTTGACCTAATTTGAACTTAATCCGGTACGGATTTGACCCGACTTGAACTCAACCCGAAATCGATTTGACCCGAATTGAACTCAAACCGAACCGGTTTGACTAGACCTGAATTCATTCCGAATCGAAATTGACCGGACTAATACTCGATTCAATCCGATCTGTTTTTTATCCGAACTGATGTCAACCCGACCTGATTTTGACTTGACATGATTTCAAACTATCCATAATTTTAAACCTAAATTATCATTTACCTTTTTTTTTTACTTAAACATATAGTAATGACACGATATGGAAAAATGACAGATGAATAACTTGATATCAACCCAATAACAAGATTAAAAAAAAAACTCAATGATAATTCTTTGATTATAAAAATATACTTATTTGAATATTAAATTGGTCTACATACTCAACCAAAATTCAGCAAAACATAAAAAGTATCTGAATAAGATTTGACCGAATACTAAATCAACTTTAGTAATCAAACCAAGCTTAACAAAATTGAAGTCAGTTGAATCGAAACCAACCCGATCCAAAGTCATCTGATCCGAGATTAACCCGGCCAAACTCGTTTTGAACCCGATCCGATTTTATCCAAACCTAATATGAACCGATCTAAAGTTGACTTGACCAAAACTCGATCTGGACTCGACAAATCTTGACCTGAATTTAACCCGACTCGAAAGTAATTCGATCCAACCCTACCCAAAGCAGATTAAAAGGGTAATTTTGAACCGAATATATCCGACCTAAATAGACTCGACCCAAACTCCATCCGATTATCCGATGTGACAACTCTAATATAAGACCCTTTATACGATGTTTTGCCTTGTTTTTTTGTTGCACATTGGCTAGAAAATCAAAATATATTATGCACATAAGTACATAAGCACATTTTAAATTATTAGATACCTTAGGTGATTATAATTAAAGTACTCAATTTGCAAGCTCTATTACTTTTTTTTTCTGTTGGGTGAAACAAGCTCTATTACTTTTAAATTAGTACCAACCAATTAGCTTACTTGATACTTTGATAGAGTACTTACCTCAAATCTTAAAAAGCTAAAGTTTGAATCCTGCTAAATGAGGGTTTTTGATGGTAAGGGTATCCTTAACCTCCCCTTTAGTTTCAAGTGTACGTCTAGCCCATAAATACTGGATCAACAAAATTATGAAGGTTAAATTTTGGCTGGGTTCTTCCTTGTCATAGAAAAAAAAAATACCAATTGGAAATTATAATTTTCATTATTGTACACAAGCTTATAACGGAGTACATTCTTATCTGAATCTGTTAGCATGCATTCACGTTATCTATTACTACCTCTGTTTCATATTTTTTGCAATTTTGGAATATTTTATCTCTCAAATAATGACCAAAGTTGCAAAAAAATGAAACGGATGTAGTATATCACTTATCAAAGGGGTGTTTTAGTAACATACTGCATTAAATTGTTGTTCTTTTAAATACAAAGTGTATTGTTTCTTGCTACATATCTCATTCTATATCTTCCAACTTGTTAGGTTTCTGTATTGGCCCCAAATATACCAGCAATGTACGAGATGCATTTTGCTGTGCCAATGGCAGGAGCTGTGCTCAACACCATCAATACTCGGCTTGACGCCAATACTCTCAAGTCTATACTCGATCACTCGGAAGCTAAGATCCTTTTTGTGGACTACGAGTATATCCCTCTTGCTTACGAGGCGCTTTGTCTCTTAAACAATGACCCAAAACGTTCAACATCGAAAACCTCTATTGTTATCATCACTGAGATGGATTCTCCTACAAACAAACATGGAAAACACGAAAGACAAAACTTTGTTACTATGGAAAATGTCAATGGTCGCCATAACAAAATGCATGACAACAATCAATTGGAATATGAATACTTGATTGACATGGGAAATGTAGATTTTGTACCGATGAATATTGATGATGAGTGGGATCCTATTGCTCTTAACTACACATCCGGTACGACGTCTTCTCCTAAAGGAGTGGTGTATAGTCATCGAGGCGCTTTCCTAAGTTCCTTGAGTATGATCTTAGGTTGGGAGATGGGTACCGAACCCGTGTACTTATGGTCCTTACCGATGTTTCATTGTAACGGATGGACCTTTGCTTGGGGCATTGCTGCTCGAGGTGGGACTAATGTTTGTATACGCAATACAACCGCGTCTATAATTTACCAAAGCATAGCACTCCATGGAGTCACTCACATGTGTTGTGCGCCGATTGTGTTGGACATAATTCGTGAAGCCAAGCTAAATGAGCTCGTACAACTAACCTCCCAAGTCCAAGTACTAACCGGTGGGTCACCTCCTCAGCCAGGACTACTTAAAGAGATGGTGAAACTCGGGTTTCATATCGTGCACGGTTATGGACTAACCAAGTCAGTAGGCCCTGCACTAGTGTGCGAGTGGCAAAAGAAGTGGTATTGTCTTTCACAAGAGGAACAAGCACAATTGAAGGCGCGTCAAGGGATTAGTCCACTAAGCATAGCAGACGTTGATGTTAAAGATACGGTAACAATGCAAAGTGTGCCTAACGATGGGAAGACGACAGGGGAGATTGTGATATGTGGTAGTTGCATAATGAAGGGATACTTTAAGAACGAGAATGCTACCGCGAAGGCATTTGCTAACGGGTGGTTCCATACCGGTGATGTAGGTGTTATACACCCGGACGGGTATATAGAATTAAAGGATAGGTTGAAAGATGTGATCATATCTGGTGGTGAGAATATTAGTAGTGTACAAGTTGAACGGGTGATTTATCGACACCAAAACGTGTCGGAGGTGGCCGTGGTGGGGATGCCACACCCGCGATGGGGTGAAAGCCCTTTTGCATTTGTGGTGAGAAGTGGTAAAGATGAAAGTGTAACGGAACAAGATATCATAACGTATTGTAGAAAAAATCTTCCTCATTATATGGTGCCTAAGAAGGTATGTTTTGTGAAGGAGCTTCCAAAGACTTCTACGGGAAAAGTTCAAAAGGGAATATTACGTGCTATGGCAAAGAAGTTATTTGATGTGCAAAATAATCTTGTATTGAGCCAAAATATTGTAGGCTCCCGTTTATAATGCTCGTTATTGTTATATTGTTGACTAGATTTTAAACCGGTGCAACATGCACACGGTTTTAATTTGGTTTTGTACTAACTTAAGAAGATTGACTATATGAATCTTAAATTATTTACAAGTATTTTAAATTCGTTTCTATGTGTAAAATTATTTAGGTTTTTCGTTCTCTATTAAAATTTATACTATACATTAAAAGGCGTTCCTTTTAAAGGAACGATGCCACGTGACACTCTTCAAAGTATGTGTGTCATGTCACAATGCCATTTCACCATCCAAAGAATATGTGCCACGTAAGTTAGCCACTTCATTTAACAAAATAAAATATTGCTTTGAACAAGATTCGAATCCATTCCTCTTGTTGAGTAATTAGATTTTGATGATTGTAAACTAATGATGATTATCTATCTAACGTGTTTGTTAAGTTGTGCATAAAAAGAACAAGTTATGATTGAAACAAGATACAAGGAACCTGAGCAATGCCAAGAAAATATATAAGGAACTTGAGCAATATATGATAAGCAATAGAAGGAACAAGAGCAATGATGAGTGATGGTTGATGAGCATGATGATGGCGAAGAAACCATGAAGGTAACTACTACCTCCGCTTCGGATTACTCGCAACAGTTTCCTAAAATGGCTGCTTCACATTACTCGCAACAAATTATTTTCTTTCCTTTTTTAGTAAGTTTTTGACCATAAAATGACAATTTTACCCTCACTTTTTTTATAAACATCCTAATTAAATTATAAGTTTGTTCTTATTACCTTAATCTCTAAGGTTAATTAATTTCACCTTATCACCATATTCATCCTAATTCATTCCCCTCCATCTACATCCAACATCTTCTTTCATAAGTTTTCTCTCTCTTCCTTCATAATCACCACCTTCAATGGCAACCACCACCTTCAATGGAAACCACCACCATCACCACCGCCACTACCACCGACCACCACCACCAACATCTTCAATGAAAACCACCACCTACATCGCCGCCTTTGTTTTCTCTCTCTTCCTTTGCCTTTTGTTTCCTCATTTGGCTATGAAACCCAAATTCGAAGGTTTTTTTTTGTCAAATTTAACCATCAAAACTCTAGATCTAGAGTTTTGATGGTTAAATTTGACCAATTAATGTTGTAATCGATGATAAAGAACGATTTGTGGGTTCGTGGTAAGTTTTTTCGTGGTTGTTAGATTCGTGGGTTGCGGTGGCGTCGTGGGTTAGTGGTGGGTCCAAGGTTGAGTGGTTTCGTTGGGTTGGTGGTGGTGGGTTTTAGGATAATCGTGGTTTGTGGGTTGGTGGTGGTGGTGGTTTCTAGGATTTTCATGGTTTATGGGTTGGTGGTGGTGGGTTTTAGGATTTTCGTGTTGGTGGGTTCAAGATTGTGTGGTTTCACTTGGTTGGTGGTGGTGGTGGTGGGGGGTTCTACGGTTTTCGTGGTTGTGTGGGTTTTCAAGGATGTTACGGTGGGTTGCGACGGCTGGGTTTTGATCAGTTCGTAGTGGTGCTGGGGTGCGTCGGTGGTGGTTGTGGTGTCGGGTTTGTCGATTTCAGTGGTGGGTGGTTTCGGTGATGCTGAGTAGTGGTGGTGGGTGGTTTCGGTGATCCTGGGGTAGTGGTGGGTGGTTTTGGTGATGCTGGGGTGGTGGTGGGTGGCTTGGGTTGCTGCTTGGTGGTGTGGGTGGTGGTGGGGTATTTAATTTAATTAAGGTTGAATTTGTTTTTCCTTTTTTTTGGGTTGGATTAATAGTTAAACATATACCCTTATATTTCCATAATCAAGCTTTCAATCTTTTGTCTCGACCTCCGCAAACATGTCCTTTGTTGCAAGCAACATGAAGCGGAGGTAGTATGTAAATAGGAGCTTACATATGTTATCTTCACGAGGTAAGTATCCTATGCATATATAGGTCATGTATGTGTAGGAGTCTTTTAATTTAGTTTAGTTTTCTAGTTTGCTTTTAAGTTGGCTCTAGCTTAGTTTGGTCTTGTTTTAGTTTCTTAACTTTATTGTTTTATAAGTATAAATAACCTTTTGTTTTATCTTGTTATCCTCGTAAGTTTTCTCAGTTTGTGTGATAAGCATGATGATGTTAATGATTGAGCAAACTTCTATCTAATAAGAGTCTTTTAGTGTTTTGATGTCTACAGGATAAGTATACTCCGGGATTTGAAGTGAGGACTAAAACAGAGGAACCTTAGAAGACTAAGGATGGCAAGTAAAGAAGAAGAAGAGTTTCAGAAAGAAGTTCTACGAACAAGACTGGATAGAACTACAAAGTGTTCCCTGATAGGAACACATCAAGAGCTTCTTAACAGGAGCAAGCTTCGGTGTAATGCTGGGGATGCCAGGTTGTAATGTGGTCTGCGAATTCTAGTGTAATGCTAGAAGAATGACAACAAGTTCTTGTGTAATGTTGAAATTTAGCCTACAGTTCCAGAAGTGGAACATTGCCCTGAGATCCAGAATACATCAAGACTACAGGATTCCAGAACAAGAGTTTCAAATAAACAACATGAAGACGGAGAAATAGATGTATATTTCTCTGGGATTCATGTAAGTATGTTGGATATAAAAGTCGGTCTAGAACAAGTTTATATAGAACCAAAGCAAACTCCAGACAGTCAATGAAATTAGAGTTACTGACTTGTCAGGAACTCAGAGACTGTTAGAGTAGTTCCGAATCTTATAGGAACTTAAGTATGTACGTCTTTAAAAGTCAGCTTTAATGATATATATTTGTCTAATACGTACATATCTTTTAGGGATTTGGTTTTACTGAATTTAGATATTTATTCTAATAAATCCCTTTTGGAAAAAGATAAGTTTGTTTAGAAAATAAACAAAACGATAAGATTAGAATAAAATCTTATTTTGTTAATTATATCTTTATTATTAATGACAGATTTTATTCTTAATAAAAAGATATATTTTTGAAAAACTTATTTTTAGAAAATATCTTTTAAACTTATCTTATGATATACCTATTTTTTTCAAGATGAAATGAATTATTTGAGTGTACTATAAATATGCCCATATGTATTCATTCAAAGTTGAGGCTGACGAAGTGTAGCGATCGTGCTTAATGGTTTTATCCTTCACCATGAAGTAAGTCAGTCCTCCTAGTCAAAGTTCCTATCAGGTTTTGGTTACAGTACATCCATTGAGTTCCATAGAGATCTCGAGTCTCCAACATATTAGTTTATCTCTTTATTCATGTATATGTATTTAGAGTTATTCAATGAGATCTTGTAATGGAAAAAAGGGTTTGAGTATTTTGGGTAGTGGGGTGTGATGATTTTGAATTCTCTAAAATTCGTGAAGGAGTTTGAGAGTCTCTAAAATTCATGTAGGAGTTTTAAAGTCTCTAAAATTCGTGTAGGAGTTTGAAAGTCTCTAAAATTCGAGTGGTAGCTGTGAGAGCACAGTGAGTGAGCTTCAGGTAGGAAGCCGAGTGTAGGCACTCCGGGAGTGCCGAGTGCCGAGTGAACCTAAGTGGGATTGAGGTTGGGTAGGACAGGTTCCTATCAGGTAGCAAATGTCCGTGGAGGAACTTGTAAAAGGTCTGTGTGTAATATGTTGTAACTAGGAGTTGCCCTATTATAGTGAAATGTTTGTGTTGAAAGTCCCTTGGAGGGTCGAGGTTTTACTTCCAGTTGGGCCCTGGAAGGTTTTCTTGTAAAATCTGCTTTGCATTCTTTAAGTTCCTAACTTTAACTGTTTTATATTCCGCGAATATTAGGCACTAAGAACTTACTACATTTCACCCCCCCTCTTGTAGTATAACATCCGAACTAACACCTCCGATGCATATAGGTAATACATTTACCACATCAACCAACTTTATTAATGACTCAAATTTCACATAATTTTATACTATATTCCTTTCGTTTATTAAGTAATTTAAAGGTAATATAATTCATCTATTTTTCACAAGATTAGAATATAAATAAATATAATATAAAAAAAAGTGACACCCGAGGAAATGCCCGAACGCTACACACACTAACTATACAAATAGTCCAACATAATTATTAGATTAATGAAATATACAAACTAACAATCCAATCACCCGGGATACACACAAGTTCGATATTTATAAATGAATCAACATTCTTAATATCGTGAGGGTATAGGGAATGTTAAATTCTTAATTCAGTTTCCGTCAGACCGTCACTATATTGGGATATGACAGATTATGATTTTAAGAAATAATTGCTTAAGTTAAGGGTTTATTTATTTATTTATTATTATTTTTTTTTCGCCTGCCTAGAAAACTGGCTCGGCTTGATCCAAAAATCCCTCTAGACCAAATCCATAATGGGCTGAGAAATTTTTTTTGCCCGAACTTTGGCCTGGCTAGGCCATTGTCACCTCTAATTTAAATCTATATATTTCACCATGTAAAAACAGGCTTCAACATATTTTAATACAAACTAGATCTATATGCACGTGATGTGTGTTATTTTTAAATTTATTGACTCCAATAATTTTATAATAGCTTGCAATATTAATGGCATCTTAGGTATTATTTCACTACATCAACCCTTAGCTTTTACAATAGAAGCATATATTCTTATATTGCTACAATTTCTCACAAATATTAAAAGCTACTACTACGATTTCTGTAATTATAAAAACGTGTTAAAAACGAGGGACTATTTTGGGCGGATGAGACAAATGTTGGATTATTACTGAAAAATTTTCCTATTTTATAAATAAATGTAGTCACAGCGTGTAGCCGGTCACATACAAGCATTATTGTTTCTTATATAATCTTAACAAAAAAAAAGACAATTAAAATCTCATACCGTGGCTAGATGGGATACTAATACGTATGAGGAATGAATTTGTATGAACTCTTTTCTCCAAAACCTTCATATTTTGCCGGAACTTGATTTAATATATTTTGCCGCTCAGCTTCCATTAAGAAAATTATAATAATAAAAAAAACCCTCACATCGTATCCCCTTCGTTAATTTAGATTATGTGGTGATTTAATTTTTAATTAAGGTTTAAATTGTAATTAGTTTTGTGCCCCGTGCGATGCCCGAGTTGTTTATTGAATTTTAAGATAAATTTACAAT